TTGTTATTTTGATATAAATAGTAGTCGGAAGATTTTTCAAAAATAGTCATGCCACTGACAATTATTGAAAATGTATTGAATATATTTTATTCTAAAACATTGTTCAACGATCCATGCNTTTAAGTGCCGCTCTCTTTCTTTTCATTCATGGAATCTTAAAATTATGATATTCCTGAACACAAAGGTATCACCTTTTAGAATTTGTCTTGGGTTTCTGACTTTTTGAATTGCGTTTAATAGAGCGTCCTTAATGCGTCTTTGCAACCCAAATTTCATTTTTTTGTAAGGTGATTCAGTTGGTCTTGGTGATTGTTTTTTTGTACTTGCTCCTGAACTTGAAGAGATATATTCAAGTTTTTCAAATTTAGAAGTGTAATGTTGAAATTATGTCCTCATACTTGAAAATATTCACCAACCAACCTTGTAGCAATTGATGTGTAGAATTCAATAGAAATATTCATCATGCACCTCAACAGCTTTCCAATAAAAAAAAATCTGTTTTAAAATCTGTTTTTTTGTTAACCAGCTGTCGCACCCCTACGAACAACAACCCTCAGAAGTCGAAACTTGTGCGAGCTAAAGATTAACGAGGTCTTACCTTTAACGTGTGATTCCTAACACGTTAAATGGATTAATTATTTCAAACATTGAAGTTACCCTCAAAGTTACCCTCAAACTTACCTCCAAAAATAAACAATTACTATCGCGGACTTTTCTGTAGACCAATAAAAGAAGAACAATTTGTAGTTGAGTGCTTTGTTATATCTTCAAGAGATTAGGCAGCATTTTCATTGAAGTCTCTCTAGGATGGGTATCACCATCGCACTGTGGAACAAAATCGTGCGTAATGTATCAAAAATAGGTTTTGCGACTATTTGACATTAAGCATGTTCAATGCATATATCTCTCTAAATGTCTAGTACATATTTTATACACTAATCCCTATTTTTTCTGAAAATAATATCTATTATACAGGGTGTAACTAAATAAGTGTAAAACATTTAAGGAGGTGATTCCTCATCGGAAAAAGGATAGACTCTTCCATATAACGAAATTTCATTGGAGCATCCCTTGTTAAGATACAGCCCCTTAAAGAGGGTACATAAAATTTGTATAACAATTTTTCTCACAAGCACTGAAAACGTCACAATATTGAAATTGACCTGACGTTTTGTACTACCAAAAAGACACTTAGCCAGAAAATTATTTGGTTTAGCCCATGGTTGTGAGGGGTGGAAAACACAACCCCTAAAATTAATTTCCAATGTAACTTTTTGTCTTATTATTTGTTCACTATTTGAAAATCTATTTCCGATAGCCTGTTTCATTCCAAACAAAAAATATCTCTTGTATTCTTTGCCCAAAATAAACCAGTTCGCAGCAAAAAATTATTTTACGAACAACTACAGAGATACATCGTCATAAATGCGAAAATACGAAACTAATCTATCTAGTAGGTCGCTATTAGCGAATGAGGAAATGGCAAATATGCATTACGTTTACGGTCTGTCTCAGGGGAATGGGTTAAAAGCTCCTAGAAGATATGCTGAAATGTATCCTCAACGGCAGCATCCTTCACATAGAATATTTGCTCGACTTCATCAACGATTACGAGACTATGGTTCATTTGACAAAAGAACGCAGGATTGTGGTCGCTATCGAGAAGTACGAACACCACAGCTCGAGGAAGCAGTACTTAATTTGATCAAAGAACACCCTACTACCAGTAGTAGAACGAGTGCTTTCCAGCTAAATGTTGATCATATGACAGTATTTCGAATTTTAAAGGAACAACGCTTATACCCTTACCATCTGCAATGAGTACAATCACTGTTACCGTGAGACTTTCTGAACCGTCTTTAATTTTGCAATTGGATGCTGGAAATGACTAGAAGAAATTGTGACTTTCTGAAGTCGATAGAATTCACAGACGAATTTAGTTTTTCTCGAGACAAGATTATTAATTTTCATAATTACCACATATGGACTGATGAAAACCCTCACACTATTGTCGAAACTAACCATCAAGAACAGTTTTCTCTTAACGTGTGGCTCGGAGTTATTGGGGATGATTTAATTGGGCCTCATTTTCTACCTCCTCAATTAAATGGTGAGGCATACGTACAAGTTTAAAAAAAGTGCATCCAGTACTTCTGGAGGAAGTTCCTTTGGGCGTCAGAAGGGATATGTTTTTTATGCATGATGGGGCTCCCGCCCATTTTAGTCAAGTAGCACGTCAGCATTTAACTGAAACATATGCAAATCAGTGGATAGGTCAATCCTCTCGATTTCTCTATTTGGGGCTATTTACAGCATTTGGTTTATCGTACTCCTGTTCGCATTTATGACGATGTATGTCTGGCTAAGTGTCTTCTTGGTAGTACAAAACGTCAGGTCAACTTCAATATTGTAACTTCTTCAGTGCTTGTGAAAAAAATTGTTATACAAATTTTATGTACCACCTTTAAGGGGCTGTATTTTAACAAAGGAGGAACAATGGAGTTTCTTTATATGAAAGATCCTTTTTTTTTGAATAGGAATCACCTCCTTGAATGTTTCACACTTATTCAGTTACACCCTGTATAGAACAGAATTGCACCTGTTTACATTTTCATATTTTCATTACTTTCAATGCAAATATGTGAGTGTTTTCATTTGAAGAACAAAACACAAGCACTACAGGAAAATCCTTGAAGCGTTCTAAAAGCGGTGCCTGTGCGGAAGTAGTGATTCACATTGGATATGAATCGCAGGAGATTGAATCTATTTGAGAAAACGGTCTCAGGAAGTTCATTCCACATGAACGCAGTTCTCTAGATGGAAGAGTTCTCAGACAGTGAAGTTTGAGGTGAACTCAGTTGAACCTCAAAACGATGAGCAGCTATAGTTCATCGCGTATTTCTGATATATACTGCTCTTGTTGCAATCGAATGTGCCAAGTCACTTGAACACTCTTCGTGAAAGTATCTATAGAAGAGAGATAAATCCCCAACCTTTCTTCTATGTTGCAAGTAATGTTCGCGTCTCCATCAGGCGGATGGCTTTTTTCTAGATGGAATACAGCAGGTTCAGGGTATGCTTAGGGGTGGAGCTCCATTCATGAGAACAATACTCCAAAGAAGGTCTGATCTGGGCTTTATAAAGCAATAAAAGTTGCTGAGGTGCGTACAGTTTTTTGGTTCAGAACAGTATTCCAAGCTTTTGAGAAGCAGCCTTTGCAATTCCAGTGACATGTGTGTGCATCCTCCGCGAGAAGTAAGTATTGAGAGCAGATAGTTGTTGGTTCACATATGGATCAAAAACACCTTCCGGCTCAGTCGCAGGCCCAGGACAGAAGTATCAACCTGCCTAGACCTATGCGACTGTATTTCAAGCGTTGGAAGCTCTTGGCGCTTACCGAGCAACGTTTAAATTGATAGCAATTTGTCGAAAACGACTCCTCTCTGTAGGAAGACTTAACAGATTGTCTCTGGTCTGAATTCCTGGCCATACTGGCGTAGAAGGCAATGAGGCTGCTGACTTCCTTGCAAAAGCAGTTTCATCGGACCAGAACCTGTCATTGGCATCACTTTAGGCTTTGCCGAACAAAGACTGAACACCTGGAAGGCAGAAAGATTTATGGACTTCTGGCAGAATCTTTCAGGATTGGCTCACTCCAAGGCGTTTATTCACCCTTCGAAGCTTGATACCGAACAGTTGTTGAACTACAGTAGGGATGAACTACGATGTCTAACAGGCCTTCTCACAGGTCACTGTCATTTGAATCGTCATATGCAGAGAATCGGACTATCGGAAGACAGTGTGTGTCGCCTCTGAGGGTTGAGGACCTAACCTTAGAGACCCCTCACCATACAAACTAATCGGCTTCGTTGAGAAGCTGGGTTCATTTGATCGAGTCTGAATAGGCACTATAAACCCTTGCGGGTTGCGGTGGAAGGTCGAATAGATCCACTTACTTTGGACCTCACCTAACCTTGCATCTTCTGGAATAATTTGCAATACTTGTATTTTTTTCTCTCAATCTAATCGTAATTTGGGGTGTTGCATGGAAATTCAAGAATGTTGAATGCCGCCTCCCTATTTATAATTAAATATGTACAGACTGCTTTGTTATTATCGTATTATTATAATAACATCGGCATATTTCAACCAATTCACACGGAATATGTATCAGTCATAGCTTTCGAATCACTCCGTCCATTGGTGAAAATTGTATGAAAAATTATTTAGGTAATTTTTGCGTTTATCGCGTGCAAACAAACGCAGAGTGGAAATTTTGTTTCATAATTTTGATAGAGTGATTTCAAATTAACATGAATATGAAAACGTCCTTCACTTTCAAACTCAGGAATCATTTTGTCAATATCAGATATACATTATGTTGAGCAAATTGAATCTCAGCCACAGGGTTCTCAGAAAGATAAACGTAAACGTAAAGAAAAATACATTAAATTTACATAAGAATCGTTGGCTCCTCAATTTTCTTCATGTCATCAAACTCCGTTTTTATGTGCATGTCTGCTGATTTCTTATGGTTGATTAAATTGTGATTTTGTAAATTTCCAGGGTAGATTGACATAAAAATCAATCATGGAACCCTAACCATATTACTTTAAATGTAATACAAGGATGAAAATATTTCAGAGCGATACACCATACAAGGTGGTAAGAGAAACAGATCATGATGTTAGCTAGAAAATCCTCTAGAAAGTCAGTATTGGTTTTCTTTACGATTTATTCATATCGTGAAGATCAAGCAGGGTCTTTCAAAAAGTATGGTGTTATGAATGTATCTATTATTAATTTTTTCAACTCAAAACTATCAACATCACGATGGAAACGATTCGATGATATTTGTGCAAATTTTGTTACGGGTTACTATCACTGCTGCATGATTTCATTTTGCTTTTGAATATTTACCAGCTGTTATTTTTTGTATCGCAACTATGATTCAACTTACTGATCAATGATAATTTTCCCCAGTAGCATGTATTCTGACGGTCAGTTTTATGTTTGTCGAGAGACAAGACAACCAAATAATTCACTGTGTTCAACAAGTCATACTTTTTCCTGGTATCCATCAAAGATGATAAAGAAATATATGTGTTATGCGCTTATTTTCGTGACGAAGTTTCTTTTTGTTCAACTTCTGGAATCAGGAGGTGAGTGAAGTTATTTCTAATATATTTCATCATGAATCGTGTCTTTTTTCATTTACACTTCTCTGTTTCAACACTGCCCTTCTTGAATTTCCTCGTACAATAATTCGGATATAACAATCGTTCACAAGAAAATTTCAATCAACAAATGAATGAATGAATGACTCATCAGTTAGTAAGTACTTCAATCTACTTACTTCTCAGTTAGGTACGTTGTGTTTTGGGCTACCCAATACTTGTTGAGGTGAACAAGCAGTTTTGAAAGTTATTTCCTCATTTAGTTATTAAAAATTCAGTTTGAATCATGGGAGTGTCTTGTTCCATATGAAATAACAATGAACTTGGAATCATCATCAATTTGATAAGTAGAATATTTAGAAAGACATATTCTCTATGAATGTAAGTTTCCTTATAAAAATACCTGTTGGTAACTCTCATTCGGTAAATTTTCGTTATGTGGACACCCGGCGATTTTGAAAAATCTTTTGACTGTACTTACGTATTCTGATGTGTAGATTACGAATCCGAAAGAAAAAAACGGCGCTCTCCCTTATTTAAAAAGTTACGGCCCTTCAAAATTCAGAAAAAGGTAACTTTTCAGCCTTCTTTTTCACTAAATAAACTATTTAAAAACACAAGCATTTATTCACTAGGTCACCTTTACACCTTACTCCTCCTTCTTTAACACTTTTCACTTCAACAACGAATAAAGAATATATTTATGCGATATTGTCCAGATGAAAGCAACCCGTAGGAATTTCTTTTTATATTATAAATCATCGCTGACAGATGATTTTGATAAATTAGACTTTTTATGTAAGAAGGCAATGAGAAAGGGTGGTATTTTGTCCCAATCTGTGCCACACCGTACCGAGCCTAGAGGTTCTCCAAAAACAAAATAGACGTCATTTAAAAAAATCCTAGTGGCATTTTGCCCAAATATCGATTGAGTTTTTGGATGAATTTGCCAGAAACTAACGACAACTAATAAAGAATATATAAAATAGAAAGAAAGTTCAGCTTGTTGGTAGGATTTGCGTTATGTTGAATTTGTGTTTAATGTTTGTTTTTACAATTCAACTTTGTTATTATTTCCCAAAGAATCACTCACTAACATGTAATTCACTTAATTTTTATTTGAAAAATAAAGATATTTTGTAACCAGGGGATTTTTTGTCATTACTTGCGCACATACGACATTTTTGTGTTGTATAGCCTAGACGAAAAGTTAACTAATAATGCAGTATGTGATTGCTTATTAAAATTCACTATTTTTAAAACTTTCTCATCATCATTATGTTTTTATACCTATCCTGAATAAAAAGTCACATTTGTTTTTTATTTAATTCCAAAAGACTTCGAAGGCTATGGACAAAATATTGAGCTCAATTTTCTCATTTTGATAGGCTCTGTAGATACGGCATCTGTTTTTAGGACGGCAGAATAGATCAAACAATAATATCGATATATCAAGGGGGTTACGTACAGCGCCATCTGTCCGCGAATAGATCAAGCAATAATATCGATATTTCTGTCAAATACAGATCTCGAGCTTGAGAGTTGCAAGCAAACTGACAAACAAACAAACATACATACAGGTGAAGCTAATATAAAAACGTATTCAAAAAACACTTCAATGTGAGATTTTCACTAAACAGTTTTACAAAGACGCAACACGTGTTGCGCCATACAGTGGCTTCTCCTACTTTTTTAGAGAGGTTCATAGTGTAGCTGATAATAATTTTACCTTAAATTGCCAAGAAGTTTATAAGTAACGGGACGAAGTAACGATATATTTTCAGTAAAAAACTGGTAATAGCAGAGTGTTATCAAATTATCATATATTTTTAATTTTCAGAATGTTTGGAGGGAGAGACATGGTATGAATGGTGCAAAAAATGCAGATGTTATGGTCAAGAAAATTACAGCTGTGAAAGACACAGCTTCAACTGTTTATTCTCAGCTGAAAATTTACAGAACGTCATAGTTTTCTCCGATGATAGACGATGCCACTACTCTCATGAAAGGAAAAAAACGATATGCGTCGAAATGACATATCAAAAAGGTAAAATATCTATCAATTTCATATATATTATATTCTGTATTCCATTGAATTTCACGCGGTGGTAGTGCGCCCGACTCACGATCGGAAGGCCGTGGGTTCGATCCCCGCCTCGACCAGATATATTTCTCGAGAGAATTTATCTGGTTGAAGCTGGGATATTCCTGCGACCGTGGTAGGAATTACATGTTGAAAGGTATGACCTCGTTAGTCCTTAGCTCGCACAAGTTTCTCAACTTCTGAGAGTTGTCGTTCGAATGGGTGCGACAGCTGATAAACGAAAAAACATATTTTCAAACAGATTTAATTGTTGGAAAAGGAAGAAATTTCCAATACAAATGTAAAACTTTCAAGATATAATAATCAGGGAGAAAAAATCCAAGTAATAAGGCCGCAGTCGAAAGTACTTGTATTTCCAAATGTTTCATCAATACCTGAGGTTTTCTTGTTTCTATTTTGCGAATTACTTTTTTCAATGCAATCAGGTTAGTACGGATTGAATCAAATGGTTGCTCTATTTGAATTCTCTTCAGATATTTAATTGGGTAGTTGCTCGAGACTGTATCAACTGCATCTTTTGCAGTGATTGAATAATAGTGGTTGTTTAATGTCATGGGACTTATTGCTGTGTCGGTTGATTTTTCTTTAGATTGTTCTTTTCTCAAATCATTGAATATATTCCACTTTTCTTTCACTTTATCATCAACATTAGTAAATCTGTATTGACAATATATTTGTTTCGCACTCATCACATTCCAATTTGTTATTTTTGTATTTATTGAAATATCAAAGGAAATATTTGGAAAGAAAAGGTTTTAGCTTTCTACTTCTCCATCTTGAATGGAAGTCTTGTGAAGAGTGGAAGGGAGCACTCAATTTCAAAAAATTAACAAAGATGTGTAGATCATGCAATTAAGTAACTTTCAGACACAAACCGGAAGACCCCTCGCGAAACAGTTATTTTCATATAAAAATCGAATTACACGAAAAAAAACTTCCGTAACAAATACTTTGATATGAACGCTGAATTATAGCAAAAAACACTTTTCTCTATTCCGTTTGTATTCCAAACATTCATAATGACGTCGAATCTTATATCATCCACAAGATTCCTTGCCGTTGCTGTGCCGCTGTTTTTGGTTTCAAGGATGGGAATATAAAAAAATGCATGATGGCACTCCTAGGGTCAAAATACCCCAGAGGTAAAATAGTTCTCCAATCGTATCTCTGGGTGGGGGCTGATTTGAAGGCATCATCCTGTAGAAGTTATTCAAAAACCACTATTCCTGACGGTTAGCAAGGTCTTCCTAACATCAACCCACAGGGAAATAGCATGGTAACTGCAGTTGCTAAGAGGCTCACTAGCAACTTCAAAATCCATTTCTGAAACATCAGAGGACTCAAATCAAATATAAACTCAGTGTACCAACATCTGCGATCAAATAGTTCTCACTGTTGCACTCACAGAAACCGAAATTAGTGCTTCAACAAACCCCCGGCTATGATTTCCACTCCCGATTCAGACGTAACTTTGGAATATCTCTTTTCATCAGAAGTGACCTCTCCTGTCACCGAGAGAAAATGCTTGAATCCCGAAAGTTTGATGTTATGTGGTTCAAAATAATATCACAGAAGATCATCAAATTTATATTCTGTGTTTTTGCTGTGTTCATCGACCACCTAGCAATACATAATATACGGAACTATTCCCTTCACTTGCAAACACCATTGAATTTCTGCAAATCAAATATCCCAGTGCCAAAATTTCCATATTCAGTGACTTCAATGTCCACAATATAGAATTGCTCAAATTTTTGAATATCAACGACGAACAAGGTCGCAAAGTTGAGGCTTTCACAATAGGCAGCAAACCTGCTTATTCTATTACTTAGATTATAAATGAGCCAACCAGGATTTCTGACCGTGATGGATATGCTAGTCTTCTGGATCTATACCTAACAACCAATCCAGAAATTTAAATAGTCACCTTAAGGTCTCCGTTGTGATCTTCAGACCACAAACTCATTTCAGTTTTGAGTGAATTACCGATAAATGTTGGGAAACAATCTAACTCGCACATAATTTTGCATTACAGATCAGCTGAATGGGAGGATCATCAATACTGTTTCCAAAAGTTCCATTGTGCTTCTGAAGTCACGGAAGTTATTTTATCATCCATGAATGCATTTATTCCTTTTTCAATGAAACAACTTTGTTACGACAAACCTTGGTTCAACAAAAATTGCGAGTAAGCTGTCGCCTCCAGAAATTTTGCCCACCAGCAGTGGCACAAAAATCCCACTATCGAAAACCGAACTAGGTTTATTAATGCTCGCAACAGCTGCAAACTCAGGATAGATGGTAGCAAAGTATTTCACAATCAGAGAAATAGGAATAGGCCTATCCCAACGAATCTAGACCATTCTGGTTGGTAGCTGAAGCTGTTAAACAGAACTTTACGAAATCCACAATTCCACCACTAACACAAGCGGATAACAGCCTTGAAAAAAGCAAATCTGCTAGCTGAACAATTTGCGTCCCACTCCGCAGTCGATTTCCTGGAGAAGGCATCACCCACTATTTCTATAATAGAATCCACAATGTTGAAAATTAGGTACTTTTCGACAGCGTGCAGTCAGGCAAATTCTGAAACAGTTCAATATCAACAAGGTGTGTTGTTCTGATGAAGTGCCCGTCATGATACTCAAAAAATGAACAAATGAGTTTGCACCAGTAATTGCAGACTTTTCAACCTGTCTTACAATGAAGGAGAGTTTCCTTCTTGTTAGAAAATTGCTCGCGATCAGCCCATTTCCAAAAAGGGCAAGAAAAATCTTCCCAATAATTATAGGCAAATCGCTTTGCTATCAGTGATATAAAAAATCATGGAAAAAGCCGTGAACCACCTAATCCTCAAATATTTACACGGGTTCAATATCTTGAGCGATCATCAATATGTCTTTCCGAAACAAAGATCAACAGGCGACCTTCTATCGTATGTCACTCATATTTGGAATAACGCAACTGAGAAACATGGAGAGTCGAGGGCTGTGGCGCTTGACATTTCTAAGGAATTTGACCATGTGTGGCATGATGGTTTGCTAGCCAAACGTCGATGCTATGGCTTGTTGAATCATTTTTTGTATGGCTCTTCAGCTTCCTGAAAGAACGTTTTCTGCAAGTGACCGTCGATGGAAATATTTTCGCCATCAACGCTGGTGTTCCCCAGGGATCCATATTGTCTTCAACTTTTTTTTATTGTATGGCAACGACTTATTGAATCACTACTTTCGCACAGGCACCACTCTAAGAGGCTTGAGCTTTTTTTGTGGTGTTTGTGTTTTGTTCTTGAAAAACAGCAATGTAAATCATCCTCATCCTCATTGCCAGATATCCGATGATTCACCATAAGACACTTCCTTCATCGGTTCTTCAGTAGCAAATACGGATAACATTATAAAAAGAAACACTCAATTCGTTCATAAAATTACGACTTTCTGTCACGAAATGGATTAAATCCACCCATGTCGATGACAGTACGGAAATAACATTCATTCTCTTATTCTAAAAAAATTCTGATTGACAGAAAATTATTTCATGGTGAATTTCTACCTGGTAACTCCGAATGTCCCAGTTTTATCGCAGTTGATTGAAAACAAAATTGATTGGTTGAGGAGAAACATAGGCAATCATTGTTTTGTTCAAATAAAGATTCTTGATTCAAAAGTAAAACACTACCCATATAGAAATTTTACAAAAGTGTGTACTGCTATTTTGGTCATATTTTAAATGACAACCATCAGACAGGTTTTCATACCTGCTGCTCAGATAATTAATTCAATGACGATATATATTGATAAAAAGAAAACAACCAAATTTTGTTTTTTATTTTGTGAATGAATCTTCTCCATTATGGTGTCACAATTGTTTTTGTCATTATTTTTTCTCCAGATTTTCCGAAAAGAGATAAAGGCTACATATGAATTGAGATTTTCAGATTTGAATGGAACGCAGTGTATCGAGGATTCATACTTTTATGACAACTCTACCTTCTGTGAATGCGACCTAACAACAATGAAATATATTTGTCATTCAACTAATGGATTCTGGAAGACAAGTGGGGGTGAGTTTCATTGAGACGTATTAGAAAGTTGAAAAATATTATTTTAGCGGGCATATTAACTTACATCTGGTGGTAATACTGAGAAAATTTTCGGGCGAAGACAAGAATATGTAGCTTACCGTGAAGAAAAATATTTTCATTTGAGAGCATTGTTAACCTTCTTCCTGTGGGTTTTATTATTTGGAATAATATTTCAAGAATACTCGTGGCCTAGTCATATGTATAAAATGTTTCGCCAACCAGATGTTGTCCTTCTACTGATATCAGTGAGGTCTTAACTTTCAGTGTTCGATTTTTTGCACGGGTCTGGCGATACACGGTGAACGTAATTGATAGTCTGACGAATGACATTAAACCAGCGTTCGAATGGACGTTAACCACTCACTCATGAATCATTAACTATCACTCCCGCATATGTCATGTTTTTGCATCATGAAATATCTGAAAGATCATACTACGATTCTCTAGAGTTATCAAGATAATTGCTGTTGAATGATGACTATACGAATTTATTTCTCGCAGGCTTGGATCTCTATGCGATGAACTCACTACCTACATAATTTTGGGGGTACTATTATCTGGATTCATAAAGCCGAACAATTCCAAATGTGTAGAAAGTCAACTGACAGCATTCTGGTTTATTGGAAACTTCTCTAGAGGACGTAAACATAATCTACAAGTTCTCCTTGGCGCCTGAAATGATTCGCAAAAGGCGTTGAAAGTTAATGAAGTACCCAGCTTCAAATACAATTATTGTTTCTAGAAATAATGCGAGGGCATCGTTAGGCTTGTCAGCCTATCAGTACCGCGAACTGCAAAGTCAAATTCTCCATAATACTTCTGGTGAAGTTACTTTCCAAGAAGCTAGTTTTATAATTTCGCTTGATTTTTCCTACCTCTCTGCAGACCAAGTAGCAATCATTTCTACTACTGGTCTAATGATCATCTAATGAATCTAACATCATTCAAATCCAAATCATTTATTTTCTTGAAATGTCAAAAAATGTATAGAAAATAGTCATTATACATAAAAAGACAAAACAAAACATACAGGGCTATTCAAATTC